CGCGGGCCTCGCCGTGCTCCTCCAGCCCGCTGGCCTCGTGCGTCAGGTACGAGCCTGCACAGGTGAGACAGGTGAGACAGGTGAGGGACAGGTGAGACAGGTGAGGAACATGTGGGGACATGGCCAGGACAGGTGGGGACAGGTGAGACGCAAGTGAGGGACAGGTTTGGGACAGGTGAGAGACAGGTGAGACAGACGAGGGACAGGTGAGACACATGGGGACATGGCCAGGACAGGTGGGGACAGGTAAGGACCTCGTGTGTCAGGTATGAACCTGAGACAGGTGAGGGACAGGTGAGAGACAGGTGAGAGACAGGTGAGAGACATGGGGACATGGCCAGGACAGGTGGGGACAGGTGAGACGCAAGTGAGGGACAGGTTTGGGACAGGTGAGACAGGTGAGGGACAGGTGAGAGACCTGGGGACACACCCAGGACAGGTGAGGACGCACCCCCCAAACCCAGACTGAAAACCACGCCCCCTTTCAAGCCCCGCCCCTTTAAGACTCCACCCCAAACCCTCAAACCACGCCCCCTTTTCTACACCCCACGCCCATTCCCCAAAGCCACACCCCCTCCCCCGAAACCACACCCACTTCCCGGAAGCACCGCCTCTTTTGGGGAAGCCCCGCCCCTTTTGGAGAAGCCCCGCCCACCTTTCTGCCGCACGGAGCACCAGAAGAGCGCCCCCAGCAGGAGCAGCAGCAGGAACAGCAGCAGCGCGAAGGCCCCGCCCACCACGGCGAACGGCCCCGCCCCCTGCGCCGCCACCACCGCCCCGGGGTCTGCGGGGGGGGACGGGGAGGGGCACAGGTGGGCACAGGTGCGTCTGAAGGGTGCCAGGTGTGCCCCAGGTGCATTTCATCCACCCCCAGGTGTGCCCCAGGTGTGTCCCAACCACCCCCAGGTGCACCCCAACCCTCCCAAGTGTGTCCAGGTGCTTCCCAGGTGTGTCCCAGGTGTACTCAGGTGTATCCCAGGTGCACCCAGGTGTATCCCAGGTGCACCCAGGTGTGTCCCAGGTATACCCAGGTGTGTCCCAACCACCCTCAGGTGTGTCACAGGTGTATCCCAGCCCACCCAGGTGTATCCCAATGCCCCCAGGTGCGTCCCAACCACCCTCAGGTGTGTCCCAGGTGTATCCCAGGTGTACCCAAGTGTATCCCAACCACCCTCAGGTGTGTTTCAGGTGTATCCCAACCCGTCCAGGTGTACCCCAACCCTCCCAAGTGTGCCCAAGTGCCTCCCAGGTGTATCCCAACCACCCTCAGGTGTATCCCAGGTGCACCCAGGTATATCCCAATCCACCCAGGTGTGTCCCAGGTGTATCCCAACACCCCCCAGGTGTACCCAGGTGTACCCCCCCCATCTCCCCCGTCACCACTGACCGTACACCACCAGCACGTAGGTGTCGGCGGCCCTGCCGTGGGCGTTGCCCACCTGGCAGGTGTAGGAGCCGTTGTCCTGCGGGCCCAGCGCCGGCAGCGTCAGCCGCTCGCCCTCGGCCCTGGCCCGCGCCGGCAGCGACTCGTTCCCGCGGCTCCAGGCCACCGTGGGGCTGCCAGGTGAGTCACCAGGTGAGTCACAGGTGAGTCACCAGGTGAGTTCGCACCTGTGCTAGCCCGTCACCCCCGTCCCGGCTCACCGAGGGTTGCCGTTGGTGGCGCAGGTGAGCACCAAGGTGTCGCCTTCGCGCGGCACGGCCTGAGAGGGGTGGATGCGGGCGGAGGGGGGTACCTGGGTGACACCTGGGTGACACCTGGTGACACCTGGGGACCACCCAGTGACACCTGAGAACCACCCAGTGACACCTGGTGGCA